AAACACGCCAAAACAATTGTCATCAGAGACAAATTATATTGATCAAAGGGTAGCTTGTCGCGATCCAAGTAGAAAATCAGCTTTCCTAGAGTTCATATAGCGTTGGTGTTGTACCGCCTTGTATTAACACCTATACTTGTACAGGTAAATGCTACAACTCCACATAATTACATTCATAAAACGTTTACGGGCGCCCTCGGTCCCACGCTGATAACATATTTTACTCTATTAACTAACATCAAACACGCCGACTCAAACTGAATTTCCAAGGTATTTTATCAGAAGGATGATGACGAAACGCACAATGTCATCCCAGAGTGTTAAATGGGTACCGTTAAATGTATTTCAATATTTTAGAGAAACGTTTTTGCAATTCTATTTCATACGTACAGCTTCCGGATATCTTAATTCTTACGAATGATAACCAAAATACACTGGACGAGGTGAACCCAAATACGTATACCAAGCGAGCTATTCTCGTGTCAGACCAAACTTCAAAGGGAGCTCAAAATACAATTAGTTGACCCCACAGACGTCCACGTTAAGAAGGAATCCCCTGACAAAAAAACTAGCCTCGGAGAATTTCCGAATTCCGACGAAGGCCAAGGACCTACGCTTGCCAGGTACGACGCTATTCGCCGTCGCCGCGCGCACGTCCTACAAACATCCACGGCATTCTCTGCGCATGTCTCATTCTTTAATGCGCATGCCTCATTTTCTGTCTAATTGCTTCCGGATCAACGCCTTTTAACTTATATGTTTTACCGCTACCACGCGGGTGAGAAAAAATTTGAAATTTAAATTAGTAACATGCTTTAGTGCAATTTCGATTTACGGAGATTAAGGATTGAATCAACAGCCACGCAATGTGTGATATGGAATTAAGTTCAACGGTACGTAAAATGTCACCGAGGGAGCATCAGTCATTGTTTTAAGCGAGACAGGTAAATAAAAAATCTGGTCAACAATAGCTGTATCCACTGTAGAAATATCACTACCAACGCAAAACGGGTAAATATTGTTGAGGTAAACGCGATGTTATAACCTTACAGACTGTAGGTATTCGTTTCAGGAAGTCAAGGTAGACAAGCATAAATTATATTTCATCGGTGCCTTTTTCTCTTGTCTGTAGCCTGAGCAAGACAAATACAATGTACTTTTACCATGCTTATATTATATTTTCTGTCATTTATTTTCGTTTGAAATTTCAAGCAAAAGAGGTGCATGGAGAGTTGTTGGCAACATTTCAAATCAATGAGGACGACAATCGTTGGATTTTTACTTGACCTCGGTACAACGTGGTAGTCTCGGGCTTGCTGACAAGTGTGAATGTCGATGGCTCTCTTGACATGTGAGGGCCAGGATCTGTGAAATTGTTGCGTTATCAGAGCCGACGCGATTTGTCATTAATATAACGGTGCATTTCGTGTATCAAAATAAACTTGACATTAGAGCATGCGTGATACGATTTAGTTCGTTATATTGCCACCTATAGTACACACACCAGAGGTAATAGGCTGCTCCTCGCTCACACGTCATGGAAACGCCTAGTCATTTTACCATTGTCGTGTCAGACAAAGTTAGTCTTCTCCAGCTATCGAGTCACTTTTGTGGGCGGATGTTAAGGTACATTAAAGAGAAAGTAAAAGCTGCGTCCCCTGACATGTGGAAGAGAGTGCAGGTTATGGCGAATCATGGGGGTGGGGTACGGACATACGACACTAGGTAAATATACCCACTGAGGGTCGGGAGGGGTGGGGTCTTACACATTATTATTAAATTTTCACAGCACTACCTATGCGCAGTGTTATAAATTGCCGGACAGAGGCAACTGTATGCCTTAATACATTTTTTCTTCTTAAAATGTCCAAAATTTGTCAGCTGCCGTTTTGATCTGAAGCAAGACTTTGAACTATCAAAGTTCACTCAGAAATTGATACCATTCTTTACGGCAACCCTGCTCTGCCAAATACTAGTTATGAAAATATCTTTAGTCATGTGCATAAATACATTGTCCGAAGTAAGCGCTTCGATTAATGAATAATATGTCTTAATATTATTATGTCCATTCATTACGTCCATTCATTATTGTTCATGTTTCTGATGGGAGCGGGCGGTAATAAGTTACATAACTTGTGCCCAATCCATTTCAACATTGAATAAAATATGTTCAAACAAACAACTGTATACTTAAAATGTGCATTTGACCCAAGAATTACAAACGTTATGAAAACGTTACTGAGTTGAAAACAGTCGTAAAAACCTGCAAACGTTGGGCCGAAACATTTGCTATGACATTAATCAAATGCATCTCTATCGAACAAACATTTCTTCTTTAGTTTTCACTTTAGCCATATGAGCGTAATGTGGGTATATTACGTTTTCCTTCTTTTCTCATCAGCTGTGTGGACCAGAGGTCTGAGTACAATTGAGTGTTTATAGTGAATGACACAGCGGTACAAAAAAAGCAAACTAAAGTTCAATGTCCCAGAAAGACAAGTCTGCAACTGAACCGCGCTCTTGGCTTGTACTTTAACCACAGATCATGCCATATACACGGATGTTCCGGTTACACGACAAAAGTATGTAGATAGTCCAGTTTGGACCAGACTATCCCGTGACTGACATCATGAGTATCTACCTGCGCACTTTGGATAAGTTGACATGCATCAACAAAGTCCGCGACCCGATCATACGATCCCATTAGTCGCCTCTTACGACAAGCATGGTCTGCTGTAGATCACTTGTAAGCCGGCTATTCACGGGAGGGGGGTGGTTCCTCACGCCCGACCGTGTCATTAAACGAAGACATCTACGTTGGTACTGATCATAAGAAAACTGTCTGGGTTCTTTCCCTTTTGACATGATGTCAGTTTCAACCTGTTTACCAACCTCTGACCAAACTTTATACTTCTTCTATCTAACTGTCAGCAAGTGAGTATTGATTTGTACCGTCCTTCAGGGACTGCACTACCACAGACATCTGTTATTAAAGAAATGTTTTGTGTTTTATATTTTATTGTACAAGTTAAAGTTTGTCATAGTTTCAGTCAAAATTATTTGTCTGGTGTTGTGAAGTAATATTTTTGTTGTTTACGGCGTTGAAAGGAGTATCAGACACTCACCTGCAAGGAAAGGTTGGGAACCTGCTTTAAATTGATATGAGGGCGCACCTGCGTAAATCGAACTTAGCAACATGACTAGTGCAATTCTATATCGTGTGGGTTTTTACGATTATGTCGACAAAAACATCGTTGATCGAGCGATGCAGTCCATCAGTGTTACAAGGATCAGCTACTCAGTCAATGAATTATATACTTCCTCGGAATAATGTATTCCCATAAGAAGAAGAGTCCGCTTGACGTAAAACTATTCGGTAGTGGGGTAAAATACCATTGTTATTGGTCAATAACACTTATCAAATCTTCGGCTGTCTGTTGGTCAAAACATCGGTCATCCAGAACAATAATCATGTAGACGGTTGTCCACCATTACACAAACATCATCGGTCGTCCATTAAATAATCATGTAATCATTTCAGTACCATATCATCGGCTGTTTATTATAGAATCATATCATCGGCTGTCCATTATAGAATCATATCATCGGCTGTCCATTATAGAATCATATCATCGGCTGTCCATTATAGAATCATATCATTGGCTGTCCATTATGGAATCGTATCTTAAGTTAAGAAAGTAAGATTGTTTATGGATAACAACTTCTTTTATTATATATGATGCGACGTTTCGGTATGAAACACTATTGTCTGACCTGTCCCTGCCTTTCTGCAATAATGTAGCCCTTTACTGAAACAAGGCTATGTTTTCCACATGTTCAGGATCTCCTATCTAACATGGTCCTTGTCTTTTCAGTTGTAGTTGCTTGCTTCTATAATAATTATATATTGTCAGAGCCTGAGCGCTGGTCTATATGAGCGCCGCCAGCTGCCCTCGGAGACGACCACACCTGGGACCAGCGCGGAGTTACCCATAATACTCAACACTGATGAAATCGGAGAATTTTTGTCAACATACTAATTATTTTGGTCGTCATTTCTACGACCCTTATAAGAGCCGGCAAAGAAGCGGGGAGATATGCCGCTTTTGTTATACAACAAACGCATTTCTGGGTTCAGATTATTGACATAGCGACTTGTTAGTGCCTCCCCAGATTGCCGCGGCACGTTCTCGTGCTAATGGTCAAAGTTTGAAAAAAGTGACAGTGATTTTTTTCAAAAGACAAATCCGCGGATGACGACCGCCGACCAGTGAGAGTCGCAAGCACGGCTGTGCTTTGTAAATGGCAATGTAAGTGTTCCAGTACAGAGAAACACTGTCAGAGCAGGTTCTTGTGATCTAAATGTGTATTTGAATATGAAAAGGCCAAGATCATATCACTATCATCCACTATTTGTACCAGGGCTAGGTTTTCCTCGCCAAAGACAATACTACTTCAGGGAAAAGTAATACAAAGCAAAGTCTGTTAACAAATTAACAAAAACATATCGGTCGCTTTCATTGGATGAATGTTGTTTCACGGCGCATTAATTCTTTATTTTGCGGCAAGGGTCGAGGTCGAAGTAATGCCATGAGATGAAAGTGTTTTGAAACATTGGGTTCGAACCTGATCAGTCAGTGAGACCAATGTTTATCCATGTATCTATGTTGAGCTTCTCCTAGAGCAGAAATATTTCGGCAACAAAATATACTCAAATCGTAATTTTATTAAATTCAAACTGACTGCATGTCGTATTACCGTTAATATGATTTCACTTCAGGTTTGTTTTATCAACGAGTAATAGATACAGAATCAGAGGTAGAATATAGTCTCAGGTATTCATGAATTCCTTACAACACACAACACTCTAAAAAGAAGAAACCTCCTAAATCCGGTTTGTACCATTCCTAATATAAATGTTTGGATTAAGAAGTGTCCGGATTACTCATGGGAACTCGTCTGCATCTGATAAATTACAAAATGCAAAAGTAAACACTTACCCGACTTTACGGAACAATGAATGTGATTCCGTGACTCGTAGTAGACCCAATCAAATCCTGATTCCACAGCGAGGCGCGCGAGCATACCATATTTGGCTCTGTCTTTATCCGATGTCGTGATATCTACGGCTCTGCCCTCATAATGCAGGGAGTCCTTGGAGTGAGTCCCATCCTCATCCCATGCCTCAGTGACCCGCAGCTTCACCCCCGGCCACTGGTTCATCACCGATATCGCCAACATATTCAGCTTCTCTTTACAACGCTGAAACATACAATGGCAATATATAACATGACCCAGTGCAGCAATAATGGTACAAACATACAAACTATCCCAGGACGGATTCTGCAATAAAAGAGGTGATTTGCGGAGAATGTGAACCTGTGTTGGGTTGAGTCAATCAAATTTTTCAAAATCTGTGTTTTGGCTCAAACCTACTATATTATCAAAATGAATGACCTAACATGGTCAGTATGTGTCTTAAATATGCATATTTCTTGCTCATTTCAGCTGCACGCATTAAAGTACTTTCTCGACTATTGTTTATGTCATTTAAAAAACTACACGAAATATTTATTTATATTTGAAGATATCAAGTTTTTAAAGGAAAGTTAAAAGTTTGGACTTTACGGAATATTTAAAGTATATACATCCCGTTACGCTAATTTCAATCTAAATGTGTCTTTGTTTTGGCTCTCAACAAATCCAAAACTAAAACTATATCCATTAAAAGAAAAATATCAGTCTTCGTATAAAACAGATGAACACTGAGCAACAGTGAAGAACTATGAATAAGCTTGAGTAAACAGTCTTACTGAGGATCTCAGGTAATGGAAGTGACGTTGAGTTATCACTCTTCTATTCTGAGATGCAACTACAATAAAGAGCATAGTTATTTGTAATTTTAGGGAAATGCATTCAGTCGTTTGTCACGTGTCGTTTACTATAGAAGTCCTATATCTATAAACTGATTCTGTGTTTCCTCGTTGACCCAGCATCAAGACAACCGATTTAGCCTTCAGTTGCCGTTTTCATATATCGTATGACTGTAACGACAAAATAAACGTTCATTATGTTCCGTATTTTATTTGGCTGTCCTCGGTCTGGCTACCGTCGAGTAGACATGCGGGAATAAAGGAAGCTTTAGGTGCTATATAATCGAACAAGGCCAGACCTGGACAAACACGCGTTATATTCCATTGTATTCCACAACTGGAGTTATTGGCATTAAATCCCCTGGTTTAGGGTTGAGATTAGGTCCGTGTTGCCCCGATATATCCCAGTGTAGAACATGGTAACAAGGTTACATTGACAGCCACGGCCCGACAAACGGCATCGACACTCAATGTCATGGTTGGTCGTCTTCCTGATAATTGTCCATGGTTGAGAACAGGAACATGTTAAGATTATTTCCTAAAATAGAAGCTTGAGTTTAACTCACGTCTCATATACTATTATCTCTTTCACTTAGTCTAAAGTATATATGAAATGGGCTGAGACAGATCAGTTATTTATTTTAACATATTGACTGTATTGATCCCTTCAGCGTTCCCGTTCTGTGGGGGCGGCGAGGAAGCTGAAGACCCTGGTTCGATTCCCTATATGGGTTCAATATTTGAAGCCCATCTGTGGTGTTCCCCGGTGTGATATTGCTGGAAAGTGTGTAAAAGCGGCGTAGAACCACAGTCTTTATTACGCATTCACTCACTTCAGTTCTTTGGAGTTCAGACATATCCTTTCTAAGTTGCTAATATGTTGAGAATAGATCATTCTGTTAAAGTTTGGCGAAAGTTTAGTAAAATGAAAAGCCGTTATAACTCTATTATACTGTCTGATAACATGGCTGCTCTCACTCCCAGAAATCCTGGCAAGCCGCTTTTTCATTTGAAACCAACAATGCATGTAATTCGAGACGTCGGGTTAATTTTCAAGTTCACTGGATCCCAAAGGAAACGCGAAAACCTAATAAAGTTCAACCGAGAAAGTCAACATTACGTAACTAAATATGCCCCTGGGGGTCATGAAAAACCGGAACGGCAAAAACGGATCGGGGCAAATCGATTATCGGAAGGCAACTATTATCCAAATTAACGTGTTTGTAAAGTGTCAAAAAGGTCACGACGGTTCACTCCTTTACCCATGATAAATCGATCCGCAGTGGCAACCTAGGGCGTGATACGCGTAAGGATACATTGGCATGGAGTGCTCAGGCCCTGATTCGACTGCTTTTATTAACCGGAAGCTAACAACGAGCTGCTTGTTCAGTGATGACGAATGCGGATTTTAATTTCTTTCGAGAATGAAAAATTTCCCTTTAATTTAGAAGTTGTACTAAATTAGTTGGCATGCCTCAAGGTATACCGTATGAGAGCCTTGAGAATAGCAGCGTAACCTGGAGAAGGAGACACGGTGGACCTCCTTCAAACCCATATGTGGTGTATACGAGTCAACCCCATGGGGCTAATCTCTACATATCGTGCTTCCAACAGCGTGTTTGAGTCCGGGCGTGAGGCATGTACATATCAACAAATATATTAACGCAGTCAATTTGTAACAAATACGATACTGTGTAGGAATATTAATGACATGGTTTAAATTTTCGAACCTTATTTCTTGAATACAGAAAATATCGAATAACGTCTACATAGTTTTCATTTCTTTCTGACAAGGAGTTTTTGTTTCGGAAAACATCTGGTTAAAACGTTACTTACAAAGTATGTCAACAAAATATTCACATGTCAAATTAAACACTGAAATAAATAAATGGTTTGACTTCTGCAAATAAATAAGTTAAATCCCCTGTTGTGTTTGTTGTAAAATATCAACAACGTAAGGAGGAGAGGTCTCTGGTATTACCATGTCTATTGGGAGCATGAATCTGGGGTCGGTTTTCACTGGTAAACACTGGTACGCTTTCTGAAGTCTGTCTCGTTTAAGATCTACCAACAAGGAGTCTGACAGCTATACAGAGCTTGTAAACACTCGAGCGAGAATTTCGTTTGCGCTCACACAGCTGTACTAGGGTGCAAGTGGCTTGAGATTCAATAAGACGTAACAGAGATTCGTCAAACCCGCGTTCTAACGAATGTTGCGGGTATAAACCGTGCCTTTCGCTAAATCGCCGAAACAAAACTTCAAATTGACATTCCATACATCGATTACCTCCCTTGTAATGAGGAATTGTGTTACAAACTGAATCCCGATCGCAGATGTTTGAACTGTAAGGGGTCTCAAAGAGGACCCCTTAGATGTAAACAACAGAATGGGGGTTTTACAACCCTGCCATTGTTCAAACAGTCATGGAGAAGTCCTGTCTGACCCTCTGCTCACTACCTTCCACCCCTGGCGCTCTCGACTGGCAAACACGACAAACAACAAATTCGGACATTTTGACCGAGTGGCAATAAACTGAAATTTACAATCCATAGTTTGACCCCAGTTTGCACGGCTTCGATGAAAGACGCGTTATTGCACCCTTGAGTTTTGGGTTATGTGCTACCAAGACCGTACACTCTACACCTTATACCTACTGTAACCTGGGCAGCCTAGCGTACACAGCTTATGCTCATTCCTATCAGAGAACGTACCTGCTATATATTTAACAAGTAACATGTCCCCGTGCAGGAGCCCCAGTAAAATGGTGGGAGATTCAGAAAATCTAGACTTGCTTCATTGAGGGCTGTTGCGTTTCATTAAGACCATGGTGGAACGGAAGCTCATGGTACAGAGACTGTGAGAAAAACTGTTTCAAGTCTGTAGGTCATGTCTGTGTTAAATCTACATCTAATATTTAATATAATTTCGGTTTCAGCAATTATTTTTAATCATCATTAGAATTAATGACAATTGGAGACGAATTACTGAAATACTGTTCTCGCAATTTTAGTTTTGTGTTACCTTTATGAAGTAAATCATACATGAATAGCCTAGAATGATTATCAGCTGGTAATTCATGCAGCATGCCAGTGAGTGAGTAGTATATGCCGCTTTTGGTCATAAGGCAGATATTTGAACTAGGGACCCCCTTCCCTGCTTGATCCTTGACAATACTTTTTGCACAATTGTGCAGATGAGAGTGGCAATGACACGGTTTAACTATGAATGAATGAGACCGTTCCAATGTTTGCCGCACAGCTACGGCAGATAAGGGTCTTTGTTTCTCACAACCCAGTCACCCACTACACTGTGTTTACAACTTTAGCAACTCCAGAGCCAACTGTTGTCCACTTCAGCGTCTACGACCCCAGCCGTCCCTGTGTTTGTAGGTTCCTCATCTATGTGATCCTTGGTAAACCCCAGACAAACCGCCACAGAAAGTAGGTGTATTTCCCCGGCACAATTGGTTTAAATAACTGTCAACTAGAGTCTTACAAGGCGATGTTAATGATCCAACGATAGGCGAACATGCCTGACAGTCCGCGATTGTCATGGTCTTATGGTTGTCGGCAGGAACAGTTTATCTGTTTCCCGGCAGGCAGTTTGATGTTAATGGTGGAGTTTTGTGGGAACTTTTCAATGAAAACGGACATGGCACTTTCACTGGTGATGAGGAATGGTGCTAATGTGCTGATTTGTGGACATTTTGCTTGAACCTCTGCGATGTTAACGGATCAGACAAATTTCAATGATAATAAAGAATGGTGTTAAGGTGCTGATTTGTGGAAAGTTTGTTTGCTTGAACCTCTGCGATGTTAACGGATCAGACAATTTCTCTGATGATGAAGAATGGTCTGAAGGTGCTGATTTGCACACTGCAATGTTAACGTGCATGACAATATTGCTGACGAGTAAGAATGGTGTTAAGATGCTGATTTGTGGAAACTGAAGGAAACTTTCCAGTGCCAAACGAATATGATATCACTGACAATTAAGAATAGTGCATGGTGCTGACATCTTTGTGGCAACATTTGCACTGTGAACAGGCATGACAATATCACTGATCCTGAAATATATTCTACGTGTTTAGTTGATGATACGTAGAAACGTGTAGTAATACGTTCATGAAGGACATCAGTTGATGTTAGCTATAGGATAACTGATGGATGTGTGTCAGTATCATAGCCAGGTAACCTGATTACTATAAGTTATCTTGATACATTGTGATAATAATTGATTATTAGTACCTGGTCATGTAAGGAGTGTATTGTTAATGTTAGTGCCATGTGATGAATAGACGTTACTGTTACCGCCTCATAATATGATGAATATGTGAATTATCTCGTGAATATAAGTAACTTACTTCCGGCAACTGTTCTGAACTAGAT